TTGTCTGAGAGTAGTTGATTTTATCAGTCAAAGCAAGCCACGTTGAATAAGCCATAACAATCAGCCAATCACGTGCAAAATTCTTGAAGTAACCTGGCAATCACAATCAACGTTCACTTAGCATCACATAATCTACATACCAACGTTTGATTTTATCAGTGAAAGCAAGGACTCCTTTAAACGTTCATTGCTGGTATTAATTACATGACCTTTTAGGTCAAGTTTATTTTAGTCTCAAGAGAGTTTGGATATTTTGAACTAGACGCTCTTATTAGACCGTGAGTTCGGCTATTTTGRAGAAAAATTAAGAAATATATATTTTAATCTAATTTTTATCTTTTATGTAATATCCTGCTGTCTTTCTCAAGTTTCATTTACATTCATAATATCATATGATTAGACAAAATATAACATCATAATCTTTTCACTCGTGTTTATCAATTTTCAAAAATAGCTAGTCCGACTTCACGCCCCAGGGGCGTCTAGTTTTATTTTTTATTATATATTAATTCTGCACTACATGAATCATGAAAAGTAGTGATCATTAATGAATTCAAGATTATTTATTTGATTCTTGGATTCCAATATTCATTATTCAAATGAAGTTTTAATTATTCAAAAATATTCAAACATGCAAATATCAATAGAATAAATAAAAATAATATGTACATGGTTGATAACCGATACGGTGGCTGATAAGGGCCATGGCACTACAAAATATTTCATGCCACACTGCTTTAACTGATCTTATCGCAAGATAAGTTGACTAATACTAAATTCGATCAATAATGACATATCAAAGAATTGTATGTCACTGTGCTTTTTAGTTTTGGGCTTCCTTTAGCGAATCCATGCCATATATGGAAACAAACAAAATGGCCGATTGTTGAGAAGTGTTTTCGCTATAATATCTGCAAGTTTCACACGATTTCAAAAATCGACAAAAACCATTCCTATCGTACTATGGTCTACTATAAGGTAAGATTACCATATATGGCTGCTAATCGAAGGACAACTTTTGGATAGATACGTGCCGCCAGCGGTCTAAAACCCTTACCTGTTTACACTAGAAAGTAAAAATCCATACCTACCCTGGGAACCAGAGGCTGGATTTACTCGTTCTTGTAGTATATATACGGCGCGAAGCGCCGTCCTCGAGGCCGAAGGCCGAACCGGTTTACGGTTCGGCCTTCGGCCTCAAGGATGGCGCTTCGCGCCGTAGATAAACTACAAGAACGAATAAATCCAGCCTCTGGTTCCCAGGGTAATCYATACCCTGTTCAAAGACAGATCGGAAAAATAAGGAATCGCTATGCAACCATCAAAACTGCAATAGCCATCAAAGACAACAAGAAGTTTTTGATAACATGTTAATCATGTTACAGTGAAACGGTATTTCTTATGAAAATATTACCCTGTCCAAGACACACACAAAAAAATGTATCGGTCTTTTATCTAGATTGTACAGATTGTTTAAGACAATTT